TCGTTATAAAATAAGCAACTGATCATTGGCGGCGGCTGTTCATTATCACCTCAGCAAATTCATTATCAGCATCATTATGGTCTATTCCAGTGGGCCTTACCAATCACCTGAAATTAAAATGGAGACATTATCATAATTGCCATCATTAATTCCCCTTCTCCTCTTTCCCCCCCTCCCCCTCCCCCGCCGCTCCCCTCGAGACCGGAATGAGCATGAGAGGAAGGGGAAGAGGAGAAGGGGAAAGAGGAAGAGAATCTAATAAAAAAAAGAGGGGCTGAGGAGGGTAAAACGATTATAATTACTCTCATTATAAATCATTACGAACTCCTCAGGGTCCTGTGGTAATTAGCAGAGATCACCATGACGTCAGTGGCACCGACTCGCCGTTCAGGGAGACGTCGAACGTGTATGACGGGTCCGCTTTCTGTGCAGGTAAGGCCACGGCGGTCGTGTCGTTGTTTCCTCTGTTTTTGTATGTCTTTGTTTGTTTTTGGAGGAAGGGGAAGTGTCTTGGCGTTTCGTCGTGTCGTTGTTTTTTTCTTTTTGTCTGTTTTTTTAAGTCTATGGCGGTCATGTTTTTCTCTTTGTTTGTTTGTTTTTTTTTAAGGCTATGGCGTTAAGAAGGGAAATGATGCTGTTTCTGTTTTTGTTTGATTGTTTATTTGTTTTTGGAGGAAGGTAAGGTCCTAGCGTCCATGTCGTTTGTTTGTTTATTTTTTTTAATGGTAAGGCCATGACGTTCATGTCATTTCTCTTTATGGTTTTGTTGCTTGTTTATTTTATTTTTTTGGAACGATAGTAAGGAGATGGCTTTATGTCGTTGTTTTCTCTTTTGCTTGTGTGTGTTCAATTGTTTTTTGGATGGCTTGGGTTCAGGCGCTGGGGTAAGGGTAAGATGATGCCGTTTTCATTTTTTGTTTATTTGTTTTTGGAGTAAGAATAAGTCCATGTCGTCTATGCGCGTTGTTTTTTTCTTTTGTTTGTTCATTTGTTCTTGAAGGGTATGGGTAAGACAATGGTAAGAGTAAAGTCATGTTTTTTTATTATTTATATTTATTACTTATTGTGAAGCTATACTGTTCATTAATGGACGATGTTTTTTGTCTTTGTTTGTTTATTTGTTCGAAGGGTTTGAGTTAATGTGTAGGGTTGGATTAGTTAGAGTGTTAGGGTAAGGGTGTAGGGTTAGGGTGTAAGGTTAAAATTGCAAGGGGTTTGAGGTTGCAAGGGTGCGGGTGCGGGTGGTGTGTCATTATTTTTTCATTATTGGACTATTAATTTCTGTTTATTTGTTTTTGGAGTGTCGGGGAGGATTTTTCTTCATGTCTCTAATTCTTTTATGTCTGTCTGTGTCTGTCTCTCCCTGTCTCTTTCTCTCAATTTCTTTCTCCCTGTCTCTCTCTCTCTCTCTCTTTCTGTCTCTCCCTCCCTCCCCTCCTCCCTCCCTCTCTCTCTCTCTCTCTCTCTCTCTCTCTCTCTCTCTCTCTCTCTCTCTCTTCTCTCTTCTCTCTCTCTCTCTCTCTCTCTCTCTCTCTCTCTCTCTCTCTCTCTCTCTCTCTCTCTCTCTCTCTCTCTCTCTCTCTCTCTCTCTCTCTTCTCTCTCTCTCTCTCTCTCTCTCTCTCTCTCTCTCTCTCTCTCTCTCTCTCTCTCTCTCTCTCTCTCTCTCTTCTCTCTCCTCTCTTCCTCCTCTCTCTCTCTCTCCCTCTCTCTCCATGAACTTTCTCGATAAGGACTATTATATTGCAGATAAAAAATAAGGGTGTTATTAAACATTTTATTCTAAATATTCACCAGTTTACATATTTTCCATTTTTTCATCTGAAGGCCTCTTTGAATCGATCTCTCACGGGGCCTCACATCTTCAAAACATAACGAACACCGGATGATAATCATTATTTCTGACTAATTGCTCAAATATCATATTTCTGTTTTGGAAAAATTGTTCCTCTCAATGACTTCCGCTATTTTTTTTCCGCTTAATCGCTGAAAATAAGAGCTCAAAGGAGTGTTTGATCGTTACGTATTTAACGTTTCAAATGCATGATACTTTAGAGATTAATTGCACTCTGCATTGCTGCTGTTTATAATCATATTTACAAACATGCATGCATGAACACACACACACACTTACACACACACACACACACACATACACACTCACACACACACACACACACACACACACACAAACACACACACACACACACACACACACACACACACACACACACACACACACACACACACACACACACACACACACACACACACACACACACACACACACAACACACACACACACACAACACACACACACACACACACACACCACAACACACACACACAACATGATATATATATATATAGTATATATATATATAATATATATATATTTTATATACGCTAAATATATGGAATACCATAGCACTATATAAATATATACATATATGTGAATATATATATATATATATATATATATATATATATATATATATATATATACGTATACATTTACTTTACCTTAAGTTATACATATATGTGATCGACAAGTATCATCTGACTGCATTTTACCTGGTCATCTGATAATTGATATAAATCTCACAATCATATGTTAGATAAGAGTTGTTAAATAGCTGATAAACGAGTTAATTGTTACATATATATGCTCTCTCCCGCTTTTATCCTGGTCCTAATGTCTTCTCTTCCCGTCTCCCTTCTCCTTCCCTTCTCTTCCCTTCTCTTTTCTTCTCCTCTCCCTTTCCTTTCCTTCTCCCTCTTCCTTTCCAGCTCTGTCGCCCCATCTCATTCCCAAAATCTTTCTTATATTCACTCCTCCATTCCCATTATAAGTCCTTTATTTGTCCCCCACTTCTTCTCTTTCTCCCTAAACTCTCACATCTCTTTCGCTCCCTTATCCCCTTCTCTCCTTCTTTCTCCCCCCCCTTTTTGTTCTCCCCTATCTCTTCTCTCCCTTCCCCTTACCAATCCCCCTTTCGTTTTTAAAGCCCCCTTGTTTTCCCTTCCCCATTTCCCTTTTCTCTCCCTTCCTTTCTCCATCCCTTTTCTCCTCCCCCTTGCCCTTCCTTTCTCCTTATCCCCCTTTTTGCTCCCTCTTCTCCTCCTTTTCTCTCTCTCCCCTTTTCTGCCCCCCCTTCCCCTCCCTTTCTCCCTCTTCCCCTTTCTTCTCCTCCTTTCCCTCTTACCTTCGCCCTTAACCTTCCTCCTGAGATAGTCGTGTCAATGTTAAAGTCTTACTACTTCAAGGAAGTGTTTTTGCTTCGAAGAAAAAGAATGACAATGATGATAATAATGATAATATTAATAATAATGATGATACTATTACTACTTCTAATAAATATTAGTAATAATGATAATGATAATAATGAAATAAAATATATAATTAATGATTATAATGATGATTAATAATAAATGGTGATAATAATTATGATAATAATTCATTACTTTTAGTTAGGAATAGGATTCTCATAAATAATAAGAATAATAGCAACAACAACGATGAAAAGGATAATGCTCATAAATTGATAAGATGAAGGTAATAATAAAACAATAACGAAATGATAATAATAATATTAATGATAATGATAATAATAATGAATAATAATAATAATAATAATAATAATAATAATAATAATAATAATATGATAATGATAATGGATAATGAATAATAATAATGATAATGAAAATAATGATAAGATGAAAGCAAAAACATAAATAATACCAACAAAAATGATAATGCTAACAAGATGATAACAACAATAAAAATATTAATGATATAATGACAATGAATAGTAGTAACGCTAATAATGATATTGAAAATAACAACTATCATCATGATCACAATAATAGTAGAGATAAAAAAGTAATGATAATGGTAATAATAATGATGATGATACCAACAACAGCGACACAACACCAACAAAATATTGCAAAAATAATTACTCAAAATTCTGAAGAAAAAAATCACTTACCGAACATTAAACCGAGAGGGGATAAAAAACGGAAAAAAGTCTTGAGCAAAGTCGAAAACCCACAAGTACCTCAAACTTCAACTATCGACTTTCGATCTAAACCCAATAATGGAGAAATGAGTGTGAGAAAGAAAAAGAACCTCCTAAAATAAACAAAAGATAAACGAAATAGAGAAAAAAATATGGCAGAGAAAATATACGATAAAAAAGAGGATGAGGAGAAGGAAGAAAGATGACAGAGAAAATATACGATAAAAAAGAAGATGAGGAGAAGGAAGAAAGATGACAGAGAAAATATACGATAAAAAAAAGGATGAGGAGAAAGAAGAAAGATAGAGAAAATATACGATAAAAGAAGATGAGGAGAAGAAAGAAGACAGAGAAAATATACAACAAAAAAGCGAATGAGGAGAAGGAAGAAGAAGAAAATGAAAAAATAGTTACTCTAGTCACTCTAAGGCTGTTTATATTATAAACGAACGCCTGACCTCCCCTGATGTAAGAGGTATCATGGAACAACAATTTTCTGGCTGATTAGGCCGAATGACGACCCAAATCTGTCGCATTGACAAAGATTAATGGCAGTCATCACAGGCCGGGATCTAGTGGATAATTCGGCCTCGTGTCTGTTGGTGTTGTGAGAGGGGAGGGTGGAGAGGGCAGGATATATATATATATATATATAGATATATATATATATATATATATATATATATATATATATATATATATATATATATAACTATTTATATCAATATATCTATATCTATATCTATTATCTATCTATCTATCTATCTATCTATCTATCTATCTATCTATATAGATATATAGTATATATATATATATATATATATATATATATATATATATATATATATATATATATATACTATACACACACATCACACACACACCACAACATATATATATGTATTATATATAATATAATATATTATATATATATATAATATATATATATATTATATATATGTATATATTATATACATATA